GCAGCTACTAACACTCATTAAAATATTGAAAAAATGCAATAATATTGTGTGAGAGTGTGTGTTTTGTGTGTGCGAGGGAGATTTTGCAAGTTTGTTTGTATCCTTCCTCTCTACAATGACACATTGAGACTGATATGACATACTGAAATTGCTGAAGTATAGCAGAAAAATAACCTACATTTGTTTTCCTTGTCAATCAGTATGAACAAAGCAAATAAGCTATGTGAACAAGAAAAGCCTCTTTCTTTTCACTGGTCATTTAAGGGTAGGGCAGTGATCTAGAGCCTCTTCTGGAAACAGTATGTTATAACCACTCATTTTATTTATTTCACTAAATGCATCCAGTCACACATTTGTTTGAATATTGTGATATAGAATAATGACTAATCACTTAGGGAAATGGATGAAGTAAGTTGACAGTATCCTGGAATACTGTCTATTTTTCCTTACAGATGATAATTTAAAAGAGTAATTCCATTATAATCATTAATGTGGATATGCTTTACATGGATACAAAGTGCACCTGCTTTGTAGGTGTACCTACTTTGTATGACTGGGTCGCTGTATTATTTCATATGGGATATCTTCCTGATCATACCTAAGATGACAAAAAGTCTAAAATGTATAAAATATTAGAAGCAATGTGGATTTAGACTCATGACTAAATGTGATATCCATTCTTCTATTATTGTTGATGCTTCTTTTCTCACCTATAGCATAGACTGAAACAAACAAAGCTTTTCAGGTTTTAAATAGTCTCTGTGACCTCAGAAAAATCACTTTAAATAGAATAAAATAAGATACATTTATTTCATGTAAGATTTCACAGCTGCAGTTCTTGCAAGCTGATATAGGAACTGATTTCTGCAGGAGTTTATCAGGTATCTGTGGTTGCCAGCTCCTTCCTCATCCTTTGGTTGAAAATGCTTCTCACTGGTCTCTGCACCCAGTTGTAGGAGCTAAACTGGTAGGGACCTAACCCTAAAAAAAGGGAATTTTTTCTTGCAGTCCAAATTCCTGGTTTACCATTTTCACTATCAAATGACAGTGTTCATGCAAGCAGGGGATGAAAGAATGCTGAACAAGAGACAAGGGATCTTCTTTTGCTTCCAGTAGAAGTCATTAGATGGATTTAACTGTATCACCCAGCTGTGCTGGTGTCTTTGCAGAGAGCTTTTAATTGAGCCTTTTTGATTTTTTTCCCCTGCTGCTTATATGTGGCTACTGCAATGATAGCCATCCTGAAGACAGAAACATAATAAAGCTGTGACTTTATTTTGTTTAGTTCTTGGCAACATGATTTCTTCCTCTTTGTTAGTGGCCAGTGTATGTATTGATATATGATCTGTGCCACTTTCAGGAAAGAAAAGATCCAAATGACTAAGCAGATGGGTAACAGAATTGAATGTCAGTGTTTAAGTGTTGAGACAAGGAAAAGGTGCTATTCAGAAGATTTTCTTGATTTAATGCAAGATTTGCATTCCTACACAAAATACTTTATATTCATATTTTTACATTGAACAGTCTTGAGTAGTAACTTCCATTCTTCCCCGGAGCAATCCTCCCACAGAAGTAGAGGGTAAAGGTCATAACTTAGAGCCAGTTGCACTGTGCCAGTGTGACTGAAATTTTATTCACCTGAAGGAATTAATTTAATTGCTGTGAAGGAACAAGAAAAGTTTTATCTAAAATGAAGACTAGCAGTTGTATAGTTTCATTTTTTTCCAGCAACATGATACTGATCACTGAAGTTTCTGGTTCTGATTTATGAGATAGGTAGTGATGATTTTGATACATGAAAAAAAATTTGTAAAAGTGGCAGGTTAATTACAGGATATGATATTAATGGGTGAGATATGGTTCTTCCTGTTTTCCAAGTTCCCCTCTCATTATACAGTGTTCTGTATCTTCTGGAACAAAATTTATATGTATATTATGTTATGTACAATCATCAGGTAAACTTAAACTTTGCAACCTGTACACATAGAGATATCTGAGTCTTTTTCCTTCAGTCCCTCTCCACACTGATTGAAGGAAGGACTGCTTGCATTAGCATCAAATGAAATACTGTTTGCAGTGGTTTTGAATAACTAATTTCTGTGAGATTACAGAAATTACATTCAGTTCTTCAAATAATTTCTGCAAAGCAAGCAGCCTACTTTGAAATCTGTACTAGGATGTAAAGAAACAAAACCAAAATGTGAATCTCCCAAAGTAGTATCCTCCTTTTGTGGAATGGTCCAGTGGCTTAATAAGGTTAATTTGTTTTAGGTTGTGGGGGAATCCTTTATCTACTGTATAGAAGCTTTAATTTCATACAAATGTGACAGATCCTGTACTTACTGCACTGGAACTTAATTATTTGATAGCATAAGGGCCTGAAATCCCTACTATTCCTCTCAAAGAATTATCATGGCATTTTCTAGATGGCAAATAGAAACTAAGGGATGGCTAGCCTAATTTCTCAGTGTTTGAAATATCTTTGCAAATTTTTTCTAAGATGATTTTGTTTTAAACCCAGGAAATTTCAAAGCATCTTTATTAAAGATTATCCAAATACTATTGATAGTATGTGGCTATTTTTTATTCTCTTCCATTTTGCATATGTATTTTCACCCTTTGAAATGCCTTTCTGTATTGTACATGAGTGTTTCATTTCATTGCACTCTTTTTCCATAAAGTCTTAAAATGTCTGATTTTTCTCCTCCTAATTACTACAAAGAAGGCTTTCAAAATTTTTGATTCACTATGAAAATTTCCCTCACAGAATTTTACAATATCTCTTTTAACTGGCTTCCATTCCTGATGGCTACTTTTGTACATTGTACTTTATTTTCCTTTAGTGGTTATATTGCAGCATTTCTGTATAGACAGTAAAGCAGTATAAAATTATATATGATAGGAGAGTTAGGACAAAAATTTCAGGATCAGTGATATACAGAATAAAAATTAAAACTGATATAGTGAAAAAGCATGTAGTAATCCTATCACTAAATTTACTTTCTTTTGTAGATTTGGTGTCTAGGATTTTTTATGTACCTTTAATAAAATATAATTTAGTGAATTCGTGTTAGGATAAGTGTGTATAAGGTATGTAATTCCTATCAAAATTAAAGCTAATATGAACCTGCAAAAGCAGGATGTGTTTGTTCTACTATATATTATACATATCCAATATATCCTAGGATAATTTTTTGTCCTATTCACAAATAACGAATTTTACAAGTGTTTTATTAAGAAAAAAAATGAATGTATTTATTTAAACTGCTTTTTTGGCATGTATACCAGAGGAATTGTTTGGAAAAGAATTAAAAGTAATTTTTGGGGCAGCCTGTGCTAGTAGCTGTAAAAATATTTGCTCAATGTCTTTAAAGGTATAAAATAGAGATTGCCAAGTTCAGGCAGATAATATAAATTACTTTCCTCATGCTCTATTGAATTAAAAATTACAGTTAGAAAGTGAAGAAAATCAGTGTTTGTGCAGTGTTTTTCCTCCTAGGTTTTTGATTTAAATGTAACATTTCAGCATATCAAAATATGATGGATCATGGGTTAATTGCCTGCATTGTGTTCTATCATTTCAGCTGTAGCACAGCATGATGTTGTTGAGTATAATCAAACCTGACATGGTACAATGCATTGAGTGATGACAAAGACCACAGACTGTTCACCAGAATTTGTTATACTGGAGAATGCATGGTTCCCCAATGATATGTTGAGCAGTTTATGTTTTGTTGATGAAAACCCAGAGTCTAATTGCTATCTGTGGCTTTTACCTCTAGGAAATTCATGAGGTCTATAGCCTACATCAAGTTTTGTTCCTTACTAAGACCTTTTAGGAGCTGACACTGTGAAATAGCAATGGAGTGAATCCAAACATCAATGTTGGGCTCTTTTCCTTGTAGAAACTCTTTTTTATTATTTGACATTAGGGATATTAAAGGTAGCTGAAGAATTCAGTACACAGCCTTTGCATAGAGCACACAAAAAGTTCAATAGCAGCAGAACTAAGGGACACGTATTGCTTCACATAATTAGTATTCCTGCCCATACAAGATTGTAGGTCAATATCAGCTAAAGTTCAGATTTTTTTTCTCTCTCTCTTCCGATGGTAATGAACTACCCCCAGGAATATCTGGCCTTGTATAAGCAACTACTGAAAGTTCAGTTAAAACATTTTCCAAACTCCAGATCCTTTGGTAACTGTCTGCTGAACCAGAAAGGGTATTTTGGTAGCTCTCTTCGTACCAAATTGCTCCTCTTACTGGACTCTAGCATTATGGTTTTGATAATCAGTTAGAGCAACATGAATGGAAGTGACAGGTACAATTGTGAGGATTGTCTTGTTGCCTCCTTTGTTTGAAAGATTTGGGTCCCCATGTTCCCAAGTTGACTTTGCAGTGCCAGGCAGAAAAATTTAAAGTGTGATTCCTTAATAGATTTTATTTCTGGATTTCATTTGAGTGTTTTCCCTGTACCCTGCCAGTTGCTCTCTGTCTGCCTGTAGGAAGGTTTTGGAATACCATGCCAAATTCTCTTCTGGGCATAAAGTCTGGAGACATGGATTGTGAAAACATATGTATGTATGGGTATTTTAGCATTGATATACTTTCATTACAAAGTTTCTCCCATAGGGAAAAAGGAAAAAAATATTGGTAGAGGTACACAGCTGTTTATGGGAGTCCAGAAATTAATGTAGTTTCTAGGTTAGTTTTATGTTTCTGTTTCATGTTTGATTGGAACAGGCCCATATGCAGCCTTGCATATTCCTTCAACTGTTCTTCTTTCGCCAGGGCTTTCTGCCTGAGATAGTTATACTACATTTTGAAAATAGATCAACTCTCCATTCTAGTGTTAATACCATTGCAATTCTTATTTCATGTGTGCCAGATTGCCTTACAGAGCCAAGTTAATGCATTTATAATTAAAAAAAAATACAAATGAAACAATATGATGTTACTTCTCAAGATATCAAATTGTTCATCTTCTTGTTTTCACAGCTCACCATGTTAAAACTGGGACCTGTGAAGTGGTGGCACTTCACAGATGCTGCAATAAGAATAAGATAGAAGAAAGATCACAGACAGTGAAGTGTTCCTGCTTCCCTGGGCAGGTAGCAGGTACCACCCGGGCAGCTCCTTCTTGTGTTGATGGTGCGACTCCTTCTATTGCTTCCTTTCTTTGTGTTCCTGAGACTTTTTGCTGGCTTAAGGTCATTAATGACCTTAACTCCATTACAGTTAACTATTTAAAATAAGAGTAGGGAAGCTTCTGCATTTTGAAAGGGGTGTCCAAGGTGAATGGGAGAAAGATGGAAAAATTAATTATTTGCTATTGCTCTGTAGAAATGCTAAACAAAATTATTAGATGCCAGCAAAAGAGGCCTCTTGAGAGGCTAAATTTGATCTAACTAAATGAGGACTCTAGGAGTTGTATGAAATTCACTTAATTAAAAGTATTTATGCAAAACCTACATAAGCATATAATTTTCACGTGCTTCAGTTTTGCATCTTATTTATATATTTATCTAACTGGAAAGATACAAGCAAACAAACAAAACACAGTTCTGTCTGGTTTTTAATCCTTTTAGACCTACACTATTATTCCTGTTCACAGTGATATGTTAGTGTCTTAGTTAGCAATTCTGGTATTGGCTCATATATTTTATTTGGGAAAATACTAGCTGATTTTTCACATCTCTTTCTCTGAAAGAGTGTCTGGATTCACCCTTTACATGATCTCTTTAATGTTGATATGTTGTTGGCTTTCGGAGAAGCTGTAAATATGTCATCATTGGGGAATAAATTTAATCAAACTATATGCTAGGCTATATTATAGACCAAGCAAAAGAAGAGACTCTACTTAAAACTTTAAAATCTGGCTGAGCAAGATAAAAATGAAGTTGGGAAGAAATGCTATGAAGAGATTGACTTTGAAGCACATAGCACCTTTTGCAAATTGGAAACCTAATTTCTTCTGAAGGTTCTGAGGTAGCTGAAAATCACAGACTAGCTGTCAGTCATCATGTTTCTCATCTTTACCTGGAAAATAAAATAAATGTTGCAGTGTAATGACATCTTAAAGTGTCAATTTCAACAAAATACAAATACATTTGTTTTCTTCTCTTGTAGCTTCAATAGTGGAGCAGAAATGGTGGTGCCACATGCAACCATGTCTTGAAGGGGAGGAATGTAAAGTTCTTCCAGATCGTAAGGGATGGAGCTGTTCCTCTGGGAATAAAGTGAAAACAACTAGGGTAGGTATGATACCAACCTGACATGTTACCAACAAGTAAAAAAAAGAAAGGTGCACAGGAAATTGGGTGCACAAAGAAGACCTAAGTTGAGAAGACTAAAGAAGCATGGGAAGAGAGTTGTACTGGGATTGGACTTCCTGGTCCCTCACACTTTTCTCAGCATACTTTTCAATTGTTTGAACATAGTAAGCTGTGTGCCAGACCTTCTCAGGTAAGTGCTGGGGATAGTAGAGTTGACCCCTTCAATAGTAATGATCAAATTCATTATAATCTAATATGTATTTCTCTCTGAAATCAGTTGCACTGTGTCTGTACACTTTGCTAAACTCTTCATTCAAAGGATAGCAAACCAGCATTTTTTGAAGTTACATGGAATTACCACGATTCTACATAGAAACTGATCATGGTAAGCATTTGATGTGTCATTACAGCATGATCTGGTTCTTTCCATCTTGTATAACTGTAATTTACTAAAAAAATTTGACTGAGTTTCAGGGAGTTCCTTTCCTCCACTTTACAATTTTCACGTTATTGGTTCAAATTTATGTTAACAGAAATATATTTAAAGGTCATTATATAGACAACAAAGTAAACATGCTGTCAACTTTGCTTTTTAGTGGCTAACTAAAACAGAACAAAAAATATTATTCAGATAAGCATTAAACACACAAACTTCCTAAAATTTCAGCATTGTATCTTGTCAGGGTCAACACAATTCTTCATCAATATGCAAAAGATGAAAATGTACTCTGAAGACACATATGCACGTGTTTAAATATAAACACCTTCCCCCCTGCACCCCAACACACCTACTCATGACTGATTTTTCTTTTATGCATTTAACAGTTTGTAGTGTCAGGCCATATTATGCTAGATTGGTATTTAAACAGGGTTTGAGTATCTATGTAATTTTATTGAAATATTCCTTACATAGGCACTACATTTCTGGTACACATTGGCTGTGGTGAAACACAGCATGCACTGACTGAATTATATTCCTTCTGTTCCACAGAGAGCTCTATGTCTCAGTGTCTGTATTTATAAGTCTCCAAAACATTTTGACATTCTTTGAAGGAAGGATGCTTCCTAAATGTTCGCTTTACAGTTCCTTCCTGAATCCATTTTAGATGTGTTTTTTTCTGAAGACAACCTTGCTGGAATGCTGCCCACACTTAACTTTGTACATGCCAATGCAAATCTGATTATATGCATGTAAAAGTATGTGCATATAGAATGTAATCAAAAGGAACCAGATAGATGTTTAATAATAATATTAGAAATAGAAATAGGATTGTGTGTGTTTTGAAATTTTTCCTGGTTACTACTACATGACACTATTAGTGTTCCAGAATACTTGCCACTTTATATGTATTGAGAGGGTTTAACAAATGTTAAGTAAAAATGTGGACCTGGATTACATTTCTGTAGGAAAAAAAGATGTCACAAAAGGGAGAAATCAAGTATGATTGCTTTGATGAGATTTCTTCTTAAAAGCATGTCAGAATATAAGTTTCTCTGCATTGGTTGAGGTGATGAAGCTTTTTCTGCTGCTAGGGATCTAAAGAAGCCCAAGGCTCTTGTCCTCAAGAGCTTATGCCTTTGTTGTTGTTAGACTTTTAGGTCTATCCCTTTGCAGCATCTGGAATTTTCTTGTTCTCCATGGTGGGGGCAATCCTCAGGACTCATTTCATACCTCTTCAATAATGCTGCTTTGGAAAAGCCAGTGCTTTTCTATATTTGCTGTCATAAACACTGATTCAGTACAACGGCTACCATAATCTGCTACAGACCTAGCGCCATTGAAAGAGAAATACTTGTCACCTTAAATCCCCACTATTTGTTCTGCCTTCCAGTTTGTCCAGATGCTGTATGTTTTCCTCCTTTTCCTTTCATTTCCCACAGAGCTGCAAGGCTATTCTGAGCAAGTAGCAAACTTCAATTCAAATTTCTGACTGTAAGTTGACCTGTCATTGAAACCAGGTCAGTGACAGGAAGATACAGTGACCTGTGATCTTAAGAGACATCATTCTGATGGCCAGTAAAATATATATTGCTATTGAAAATATGCGTGGTTCTTTGTGTTAACAGAGTAGCTCATTATCAAAGGGCAAGTACTTTCCCCTAATATGTAGTCACTACCGTATTTTTGTAGCTCCTCTTTCTGCTCCCCAAGGCCTATATAAATAAAAACAAAAAAAATCTAAATTGCTCTTTTTTTTCCAAAATTCCCCTCCCCTTTTCTTTTGAGAAAAATAAAAAATTAAAAAATAGCTGTACAGAGAACCAGTATTAAGAAGTTAAGAATAATAAGTTTCTGACTGTCAAATTAAATAATCCATATGTGATTATAATGTATAATGTAAAAGTGTAAGACACAAAGGGAACAAAAAAACTTGGGTGATATAAGTAAGTTACAGAAAAACCTTCTCAAGGCTTTCCTGAAAGGCCAAAAAAAAGTATATCTTCACCTCCAAACATTTTCTGTAAGTTTGCCTTCTTCATGTGCCAAAATCCTCACCCAATTATCTGCTGAACTACTATTTTCTACAGGATACCAAACTGAAAAGTAGCACCTACATTTCCGCATCTTTAGCTGTTAATAGTTAACCTTTATGTTAGAAATAAAAACAGTGGAGGAAGGAGGTATTTTGCTTGTCCACCTCTGTTTGCATATTTATTCTCACATTGTAAAAAATTATGATGCTGACTCCCTAATAGTTATGGTATTAATCACTAAGCAAAAAAAGCCAGATAAAAAATGACAGAAAACTAATTGATTTTTAAAAATGTGGTCTACTTGAGGTTTTGCATTTTGTTAAGTTATATAGCTCTCATAAGGTCATACATAAATAATGAATTAGAAGTACTCAGAATTCAAATGTTAAGAAATCTAGTTTGGAAATTATTTACCTTTAGAATACAAAACCAGGTATTGTTTTTCTAATTTGTTTGCATATTAGTGGAAAAGGCTGATATTAAGAATTAACTATATAAAAGTACTGAATATAGGGAAAAAATGTTTATGAAAAAGATGAGTGCTGACTGTGCTGATTTAGAATTGGCTATTTTGGGTCTATGTAGCCTGCAGGAGAGGAAGGGAGGAAACAATGATAACTTAGGTAAATCAGTAAATTTTTTTACTTAATATAAAGAAATATGTGGGCATATGTTCCCAGTCATAATACCACAACAAAAGAGGATGCCCATGAATACATTAAGAGAATTATGAGAGGATTATGAGGATAACAGCAATTTTACCAGGCACACTTGAGCATTCTTCTCCAGGCTGAGAAACTGTTGTGAAAGAAAACAATTGCATTTTTCCATTTTTCCCCCACATGGGTAGTCTCAATTTTTGATACATAAACACAAAAATTTTGTCACATTGTCCTCTTTCAATGATGAGAAAAGAGTTTCAAAACAGTGAAAAATCCC